CTCTCTCTCTCTCTCTCTCTCTCTCTCTCTCTCTCTCTCTCTCTCTTTCTACAATCAGTCTGTGGGTACATTGTCATTCTGTGGTTGTACTGTTGGTCTCTGCATGGTTGTACCGTAGGTCTGAAGTGTTTTCAGAATGCAGCTGCAGTGTCAGTTTGTGTGGTTCTACAGCCAGTCTGCATGTATATATCATCAGTCTGTGCTTGTACCAAACAGTCCATAGCATCGTTAACCTGCAGTTGTACAAGACTATTACAATCACCTACTGAGCCATGCTAGCAATCTGTGGTTGACGGCGTATTCGTTTTGCTATTCATTGCATGTATTACTCACATGTAGCCGTCATCCTCTCTGTCACGGTCACTACAACGGCATCGTTTTTGCATCCATGTGTGTGGAGGACTGTCCCTCCTTTCCTGACTGCAGATACCCTCTGCATCCGGATGCTATATCTCCATTTTGCGGCTATGGGCCTTATACAGCTATGCTGAATGCATGGTCTTTTGTGCTGCCCGTTCTTCCTTCATGTTGGCCTGCAATCGATATGCCGTTTCTCCGGAGTGTATGGTGGTCGTGCTCAATCCCAGCTCTCGTGGCTATTGTTGCACTGAGAGTCCTCAACTAGGTCTTCCATATCTTTGTCCATCTCATCCTTACAATGTATGTCCTCTCTGTCGGCTAGGAAAGACTGATTCTTGAGCCTATTCTTATCCCTTCCTTTGCTTTCATCTTGATTCCACACTCCTTTTTTTCTTTTTTCTTTCAGTGGAAGCCTCCAATCATCATCCAGGTTTGACGAGTTGTCTGTATTCGTAGATATAGAAGAGTGTACAACCTACAGAACAGATCCTGTTCACGCACAGTTTCACTTGCGTTCCCTTTGTCTTCCTTTGCTTTGTTTTCTCTCCATCTCTTCTCTGTGTTTATCCACTCCCCCTTTACTCTGCCTCTTCTCACAGCGTACGGGTGGGCGGTTATGGCACATGGGGGTGCGGGCAGGTCGAGCTCAACTTGATCAACGTGGCGGGCCTTGTACATGAGAGGCACAGTAAAGGGAGAGCTACAAGATGAACGACAAAAAAGAACGGTTTCAGGGTGCTCTTCACATTTTTTTTGTGCTTTTCTATCGTTTGTTTCGCATAGTGCGCTCCTTTGGTTCATAGATATGTGACAACATATAGTCCCTCGAAGTGAAGACCAGGTCTCCTCTCTTGTGATGGATTGTAGGTGGTTTTGGGAGCGACCTGGTGGTACACGTGTAGCTGTCGATAAACAGCTCATGTGTTGTGGTGATCAACAAACAAGTCACGAGTTCGAATTCTGAACAGCACCCATGTAGCTGTTCATAAACAGCTCATGAACTCAAATCCTGATGACAGGCATAGCACTGTAGTGTCTGCCATCCCCTCCCCACCTCTTTCTACTTCTTCCTCATCTTTGTGCCATGCCGTAGCTGCGACTGGCCTCTGGTTCTTGTGATGATGTGATGGTCGTTGAGAGCAAGGTGTGTGCAGTGTTCCATGTGTGTCCCACATTTGTCTTCAACATTTGCTTGCTGGCCAACTCGCAACAGCTCTGTCCTGAATGTTTTTGAGTCTCGATGAGCTCCAAAAAAACTTATTTGATAGGTTCTCATACTACCGTCTTCACCCGAATAGAACGCCCGGTCATCATAGCTGTAACTGGGGCAATTTTCAGTCTACATTGAGCTAGAATGATTAGGCGTTCTATTCGGGTGAAGACGGTAGTTAGCAGCTTGCCTCGATCTCTCGATCTCATGTCAACCACTAGCAGCCCGGTCTAGCCTGTTGTTACTGTGGATTGAGGTCTCCGCGGCCGCCGGCCGCCATATAGCTTGGTTGGAGGGTTTTGTTGAAGTATGCTGATGAACGAAGGTCGGCCACAAGTTCAAGCATCTGGAATGTGGTCTATGGATTCCTGGTTGCGTCTTTAGACCTTTCAGCGGCAGTGGAGATCTCACACTTGTCCGTTGCGTGCGTGGAACACTCATCATGTGGAGTGACAGGAATCATTGTACTGGATGAATATCTACACAATGCCAAACTGAAAAGAAGAAAAATCTTTCACATTCACGTCACTGTTAGGAAGGGCCCTGACCATCAACACATCTATCTTCTCCATGATGTGGTACTTTGCCTCCATTTGGACTATACTTGATCACACGATCAAGGAACTAAACAGCAGAGCCAGGGCTTACCTCTGGACAGGTGATCCTAACAAAACTAAATACATACCCAAAATAGCCTGACATTTTATAACAAGGAGGCCATCTAATGGGGGGGTCTAGGAATCATAGACCCGAAGCAGGAAACTAAAGCCCTTCAGATCAAGTGGATCATTAAGCTGCTAACCCAATCCAGACTGGCATGGCATAGGCTAGCTCTTGACAGCATCAGAGATATAGCTCCTATCGACAGTCCAACCAGTATGTCAGGCCTCTTCTAGGTAATCAACAAGGAATGGACCCCGAAGACTGGTCGCAGGAGACGACCAGCAAATGCCTCACTGGACGAGTCGCGGCCCCCTACTTCCCATTGGTCGGCTCTGATTCATATATGGAGGGAAGTCATGCCCGAAAAGAACAGGAAACCCAAATCTAAGGATGAAGTGTTGCACCAACCCCTGTTTGGGGATCCACGTGTGAGGGACACAGGCAATCACTCACTCTCACTCTCACTCTCACTCTCACTCTCAAGCGGCCAGTGATGGCTCTCATGGATCTCGAACGGAGTATGGAAGGTCAGTCACATCTGGGATGAAGACAGAAAGGGCTGGGTCGACGAGGAAATGATCAAATCTCTCCTGAAGGGTTGTCACCACAGGGACGAAAACTTGCAAACAGTGATTGCCAGACGGAAGGAAGCGTGTGGGTGTTCACCATGTATTTCATTCTCGACTTGCCGGTGGAAAGGAACCGGACTGACGCTCCCCAGAATGGATATGGAGCCAGGACCATAAGGACCTGTTTAAAAAAAAAAAAAAAAAAAAAAAAAAAAAAAAGTATCCCGGAGGGATGGAAGGACTTACTCAAAGAAGAATCCTCTTGTAAACCAGGCGAATGGGGAATACTGACACAGGAAACGGTACCTGCAAGGGCATATCAATTCTCCCACAGAGCCCCGGGATCAGAACTTTCGGGGGTATTCACCTCATTCCCAATAGACCTAACCAATCCCAAATCCCCCTCCATATACAACACAGACCGACAACAGTCGGTCCTGAGCTCATTCACGATTCGAAAAGTAAGAGTTCTAGGCAGATGGCCAAAGGTAATCTTCCAAATGGAAACAGCAATCCAAGATTTAGAGTCGACCCAGATGAGTGGGCGTGGTCTTCCGGTAGCAACAGACTCTGCAAAACGCGCATTCGTGTCACGCAATACACAGTCAAAATGGGCTACAGAATGCTGCTAAGGACGAAAGACCCAGATCCAGTGATCAAAAGAAGGTGGAACAGAATACTGGGCCAGGAAGCTGAACAAATAGCCAAAATACCCTGGCAGAAATATAAATCAATGCGCCCGGTCAAAATAAGAAGCCTACAGTGGCTCATCGCCTACACTGCACTTCCTGTGAACAGTTGGCTACACATCAGAAGGAGAAAAAATTACCCGAACAGTTCAGACCTTTGTGTAGTATGCTCAGACAATGAACAGGAAAACATCATACACTGCCTGATCACATGCAAGGAGGCTACTGACTACTGGGCAAGAGCATCTGCTCTATGGAACTACCTGTTTTCTTCTCCCTTCCGCGAACACTCAGTCCAACTACTATGGACCAACATTCTTACTAACCTTGACAAGTCGGAAAGCATCTGGTACGGCATGATTCGAAAGGTGACTCTCTGGGTCATATGGAAGGAAAGATGCAGCAGAACGTTGGACAACTCCAGCAATCCAGGTGAGAAGGTATGGGCGACAACCAAGTCCCTAATGGAGACTGAAGTCTTCTCCGAATGGAAGAAAGTCAGGATTCAAGCGCAGGAAAACCAGGAGAAGCAGCAAGAGATTTTGGCAAAATTCATGAAAGTATGGCTGGTCAATGGAAAGGTGGCGTTCATTCAAGGACTCCATCTCAGGTGGAAAGACTGGCACACCTCCTGTCCGCTTCAGAGAGCACGGGACAGACACATCCCACAGCCTCAGGACTTCAGCACTACATACCACGGACATATGTCGATGAGTACATGTACAAACAACAGGGGCTCAACAATCAAGAACTGCAGCAGCGGTTCTCTGAGGTTCTTGAGTTTAAGTTGATCTGACAGGGGCTCCGATGGGCACTCTGAGAGGAATCACAGGGAAGGGCAAAATGGCACTCAATCCTCCACCAAGTGGAGCAATCAATGCTGTCCAGGGATCCTTCGGACAGAGGGAAGGATGCGTGAGTGGGTATACGATGTAATACTGTTATTTTGACTTGCCGGGGGAATAGGAACAGGACTGACGCTCCCCAGAATGGATATGGAGCCAGGACCATAAGGACCTGTTTTTCTTTTAAAAAAAAAAAAAAAAAACAAGAAAAAGAAGAAGAAGAAGAATGGTGCAAATTCTGAATGATACACTGGCTATTGATTTTCTGTGATAGTTTAGGAGAGTTTTGAACAAAAAAGTTCAGAGAATTGTAAGGTAAAAACAATTGATACAAAATTTTATCGACATTTGTATGATTCATTGGGGGGAGGGGGATAAAAAATCTTGTGAGTGTGACCTGTTCACCTATAATAAACGCCATAGGGCGTGAATTGGCCGTTGCCCACGAAATGGACAAAATTTGAAACCGGATGCAATGCAGGCCGCACCCCTGCCTATGCTGTGATGCTCCGTAGACTCCCGCACCTTGAAAAGAGAGCTGTGTCGAAAAAAGTCAGAGATGTGGGTCTGTTGGGAATAAATGTTAGAAAAATATAAGGGAAAAGATTCCGGAGTCCGGACAGGAACAGACAAAAGAAGACAAAATCTTGGTTGCCAAATTAATAATTGTGCATAACTGGGTTTGAAAAACAGGAAAACAGAAAAACAGAAAAACATAAAAAAAGAAAAAAAGAAAAAGAGAAAAAAAGCATAAGTTTTGCCATCTGCTCTGATTCTGCAGGTCCAAAATTTTCCGGTCTGGTGCTCTAGGGTCAGGAAAACCAATAGGTTTGTTGACATAGGTTTTGGACCTTTTGGGGCAATGATGGGTTAAATATATATGACAGTCAATCCTCCCATACAGGAGTAATCAATGCTGGTCAGGGTTCCTTCGGCCAGACGGAAGGAAGCGTGGGTGTGTACTATGTTGTATTCAATCTTGATTGCTGGGGGAATAGGAACCGGACTGGCGCTCCCCAGAATGCACACGGAGCCAGGACCATAAGGACCTGTTTAAAAAAAAAAACAACAAAAAAAAAAATCATTGAGAGCATTGATCAGTTCCCTGAAGTCGAAGGGTGGACTCTGTCCCGTTTCCGCGTGAGCTTGGTATTCCATCGAAAGCATCTTCACCTCTATTTTATTTTTATTTTTTATTTTTCACCTCTAATTTTGGTGCCAGACTTTACCTTCAATGCTAGCTTTTTCTGTCCGTAATTTAATGTCTAGTGAGATATGACGAAACTCCACGCAATAATGTTTGAAAACCTTGTCGGTCATCGGCAGTAAATCGTCTGAATGAGAATGAGACTCTGGTGTGACAACTAGTCAGAATCAGCTTTGGACTGTTATTATTTTTCAAAGACTTCAAAGAATTTCAATAGTAAATGTTGTCGGAGAAGGCATACAGACTATAACAACGCTTTCACGGCAATTTCTTCGTTATGGTGCATTGGAGCAGCTCAAGAGAGGAACGAAAGTTGATCTACCTTTCTGGATGACGCCCATGCTCGCTGCCAGAAATATGATAACAGTGGGAATTCCAGCTTGCTTCGATAACAGGTAGGGAAAGCTTCTCCGTGCAGTGTGTGCTCTTGCGGACGTACGGTTAATGAAATGTGCAATTTTCATCGTCCCCAGTCATAGTCATGCTCACTAGACAACTCCATGGAGCCGAAAAAGAAAAGAAAGCACAAGTGTGACAGACCGTTTCATCAGACTTGGACCAATGTTTTGGGAGGTTGAAAACCGATGATCTCGCCGTTATGCATTACACTTAATCACTAATATATTTTGACACACTACTCCACCCAAAGTTTGCGATACCCTTGAGAGAAGTGGTCGGCCTTGCACACATCAACGTTGCAATCCCGGGAGACTGTTCAGTTGGTGTGTGTGAGAGAGAGAGAGAGAGAGAGAGAGAGAGAGAGAGAGAGAGAGAGAGAGAGAGAGAGAGAGAGAGAGAGAGAGAGAGCTGCAGGTAGTGAAGTGAAAGTCTATGGCCTGGCTCTTGCTTACTAATTTTTTTGTAATCCTTAGTTTTTTTTTTTTTTTTGGTTCTTTGTTCTGTTGGTGCACACTGCTGGAGATTATTCACAGTGGGTCAAGTGTTGCGAATTGAGAATAAGGGCGAAGAAGACGGCCATCTTGGGGTGGACCTGATTGACCATTTGTTTGTGTGTGAATCTGAGTCTATAGCTTAGAGAGCAGCTAGAAAGTTCAGTTAAGCCACTCTTGAGTGCAGCTGTGTTATGCTTCCCATCGACCAGACAAGGAAAACGATTGCATGGCCGAATTTGTTTGTCCAGGTTCAGGAAGTCTTCGTGACTGTTTTCATAAGGGAAAGCATGCCCAGGTTCATCCTGATGTGGTGCTTGTACATGATGAGGGCCATACCAGTCGTTGGAGGTTCTGACAGGGGCCTGTAGGGAATTCTCCCATTTCAAAATCTTTAACTTCTTCGACTCTAATTTCTCTAAACATTGACTTCCTCCCCCGCCGCCCCCCCCCCTTTCTCCTCCCTCCACCCCCCTCATGTCATTTTTGTGCAGGGGCCATGGTAATCCAATTTAACAGATGTCCGGAAGGACCTAAACGTGGACTTCGTGATCTCCTTATCTTGTCAATTGCACATTCAAATTGGACCTACCGTCTTCGCACGAACGGAATGCTTGATCATTATAATTTATAACCCTATTTGGTGCGACTTTCAGTCCAGATACGGCGAAAATTACCGGGCGTTCTATTGGGGTGAAGACGGTAGTCATTCCTTTTGGGGTTAGGGAATGTAGCATTTTGCAAGTTCTTCCTCCCCCCTTCTCTCTGAGCGGAACATAACCCTGAGAGCCGTACGTTTCCAGAGTCACTCACTACAAGGGCGTGGTGGACTGGGTTGGCATCACAAGCTTCTGCCACTTACACAGTGAGAAAACTCCTAGCTGCATTTGTGGCACGGCTGGAATTCGCAATCTGGCACACTTGCTGAATATTTTTTTTTGTACGTTGGAACTTGAAAGCTTCTGTTTGATGGAATGGGCATATGATCAGATATTTAGTTCTGCAGCCGTGTCTCTCTCGTTCCTTTCTGACGTGCAGGGTCCGTAAGGAGGTACAAGCAGACGCAGGATGTGTAGATATGCGACAGCGATGTTCGTATTTTTATGATCTGGGATCAAGATTGACGAATATGTAAGGCAATGTAAGCCGTGTGGCTTCTAATCGATTCTCTCCATTCTGTTTTTTTAACTTTTTGAAGTTTTGTCCCTCGAGAGTCAAAAAACAAAAAAAAATTGGGACCACTTCGGAATTTATGCATGTCATCCTGGTGCAGGGGCTGTATCGTTCCAATTTTAACAGACGTAGCCCCACCTGTTTAGCCCTCCTCTTTTGCCCTCCTTGATTTTTATCATGGCTACCATCTAGAGGTCTGCACCATGGACAGTCTGTAGTCCTTTGTCCAGGTACAACGTCCGGATATGTCCACTAGTGGTTAATGGAAGACCAAAAATTCGGGGTTTTTCGCCGCGTCGCTACAAGCAATGTTGTTGAAAGCTGTTTTTGCTAAGTTTTTTGTTACTGCTTCAAATACGGTGAAACTGAATACAGATATACCCTAAAGCACATATATAACAGACAAAAAGAACAACTGAGAAAAGAGTAAAAATTCAGGGAAATATGACAGTTTCGGTGAAAAATTCGCAAAAATTCGCCGAATTTTGGGTCTTCCATTAACCGCTCTCGATATGTCTGAACTAAATCCCAGATATTTGATATTATATTTCCCGGAATTTCGATTTGTGTGGGAGAGGTGTATGTATATTGAGCAGGAATGTGACTAGAGCACGTTTTGGCTAAGGGTCATCTTGATATTCGCAACCAATCTGAAGGAAAAAATCCAAAAATCATCTTTAAAAATGTAGAATTTTTTTCCGTGGACCCCGCTGGTCGGGACCATGTCTGGATGTCTGAATCTAGTCTGAACCATCTGGTGTCTGTGCGGTCATTATTGCCTTGAATGCCTTCTATCACGTGGTGATAGTTGGCCCAAATACAGCTATAATGACCACACGGTATTCGGGGGAAGACGGTAGTCGGGTTGATTGTTGCCCTGAGTTGTGAGATGGTGAGCCCCAAATACAGCTATAATGATTGACATTACTGGGGGAAGACGGTAGCCTGGTTGGTTGATTGCTGCCTTGATTTGCGAGATTGTGAGCTCCTTCCTCGAATTCCTTTTTCTTCCTCTTCAGCGCATGTACCTACAACAGGACTTGATGTGATTCTCGGAGGCTGTGTGGAGCATGAGGAGGCTGTCAACGCTGTCAGCTTAAGGCAGGCAGGGGGCTTGGGTGAATGCTGTTTTTTCAACTTTTTTGTCTTCAGACGGATTACTGTTATGGGTGCGATTTCTTGTTTGTGACACACTTGGCATGCCCCAGCAACCAGCCTTTTTTTTCTGTTTTTATTCTTTTGCTCATTGTTTCTGGGCGACGCAAGGTGACGGTCTGTGGTTTGGTGTCTGGCTAAGGCTGGAATGGCTCTAATGCTGGCATGGTCTACGTCCGCTGAACACTGGAGCAAGTTGGAAAGGAAAGTTGAGGGTTACTGCCGGTTTACGAGAATGGGTCTATTAAAGTTAATAATTAAACACTATTTCTAATCCACTGGTGTTTTTGACAACTTACTACTTAGTACTTAGTACTTAGTACTTACAGAAAAAGGTGAATTTGCGTTCCCCACCATCCAGGAAAAGGCCAATTTGGCAATTTCCCCCTCATGTATGTCTCCTCCTCCATGAGTCTGTAGCAGTGTAATTGAACCCTCTGTGTGAATGGTTGTCTGCAGAGAAGGATCAGTTGTTTGTTTGTTTGTTTGTTTGTTTGTTTGTTTGTTTGTTTGTTTGTTTGTTTGTTTCCTTCCAAAAAAAGGAAAATAGTTGTTTGTTTGTTTGTTCCTTTTTTCCAAAAAAAGGAAAAGTTATTTATTATCTGCTGAAAACCGACTCCAGCAACCCTTACGTAATTTACTAATTTACTCCATCCACGTCTCCCTCTGTTGTGGCTGAGGGACCCTGAGTCAGTGGCATTGATTGTTTCCCAAGGAGGAGGAATTTACCCCTGTTTTCACCCCTGTTTTCGCCCCTGTTTCGCTCCTGTTTCGCCCCTGTTTCGCCCCTGTTTCACTCGTGTTCTCCCTGTTCAAGAATTGCTGCCAGGTACCTTGAACACGGCCCGTTGTTTTGCTCCTCCCAGTCCAATCTGGCTGCTCGATTCCCTCGTCAGTTGCCAGAGCTGATGATGGTGAGCTGTTTTTCCGAATCCCATAACTGTTTTGTGTAGTTCCTCTCAGCCTACCTTGCTTGAGCCTTTCAGCTGAAAATTGCAAATGCTACTTGCATCCTGTTTAGGGGGTTCTACCTCTGGTCCTTATTGTTCCACGCATCTCTTCTCTCGTGTTGGGTTCCATGTGTGTGCGTACTTATCTAGACCTCAACTTAACTGCTGCTTGACTCCTTGAGTCGTTTACCTTCTCTATGGGGTGGCATGTGCCCGTCCCAATGATGATTTATAGTCTTATCCTGTACTCTGTCTGGTCTGTCATCCTCTAGTCCTCTTCTTTCTATATTTAGTATTTACCCTTTCGAACGAGCAATATTCGGGCCAAAGTCACCCCGTACCCTTCCGCTATTTGTTGGCGCCCTCCTTCCTGTTGTTTCATTTTCAATTTGTGCAGGTACTCCTGTGGCTCCGAACTGCTAACGAAACCTTGTTGCCTCCTCTCCTCAGTTGTCACTCTCTTTCTGACTCGGATCACTTGCCGTCCGGCTGTGGCTTGGTGTGCTCCCGACAGTCTGGTTTCTCTCTTCTTGAAGGCTTGACTGTTGGTACTGTCGCATAGATTTTCATAGAGATCTGCCCCCCCCTCACTTATATTCCTATCTGGAAACTTACCATGGACCTCACTGCACTACTCACCAAATGTGCAAAATGAGAATAAATCTTCCTCTAGGACATGGGTAGATACACCGCTATGTTTTTTTGTCTTTTGTGCATGTGGTGAGTAGTCGAGCAAGGCCCCGTGTGTCCCCTCTTCCCCCTGGGCTCTTTTCAGTCGTAGGCTTGATCGGCTGTTTGATTCAATAAACCGGGTCACTTTTGTCTGTTTTGTTTGCTGGTTACTCGTTCATTGTTTTCCATCCACATAGGGCCTCGCTCCACTACTCAACATTCGACACGTACCTGGACTGTTAAGTGGACCAGATATTTTCTGACTGACCTAAAGTGTTCAACGCTACTCTGCACTACAGTGTGAAAGGCAGGCCCAGGGCAGAACTTTTAAAATTGCTGCCCCCCCCGTTCCCCCTCCCTACTTCTCTACCCTCTCTGCTGCCCTTGTCACAATCAATGCATTCAAAATAACAGGAGTGCCCCATGTCAGAAGGTACGTTCTGACATATTGCAGATGTCCAGGTGCACGGATGATGGTGCACCATGATGGTGCTTGCACCCGTGTATGTTTTAATGGGGGCAAGGATACTTGTTTCAAATTTTCCTCCTCCTCCTCCTCCCACTGGCTTGCAAGGCAAGGCTCTCATTTGTACTAAAAAAAAAATGAAAGACTGACAGCCAGTGGTAGGGTTATTTTTCCAATTTGCAATTGCACAACTCCTCTCTGTACTCGAAAAACTTTGTTTGCCAGGGTGTGCAATCGCACCCTTGTACTCGAAAAACCAAAAAAGACAGAGAACTGCAGGGGTATTTTTCGAAGTTGCACTTGTGCATATCTGTACTCCTAACTCCCATCTGTACTCCTAAAAAACTTTGTTTGGCAGGGTGCGGGATCCGACACTCGGCCAGTTCATTCTTTTGGCATTCGGGGCACGGTATAAGGAGCTTCTCTGCAAGGCACACAACGCTTCCGACGAAGAAGTCACCCGGTGCATGAAGACACTTTCTCAAGAAGAATTAGATGGTGTGTACCTTGGATCGCACGCTTATCCTGTCCGATAAATACTGCATCGTCAGTTCTTTCTTACAATTTTAAGAGGTACGGGGTAGAGAGTTGTGAGGTGTGTGTGAGGTCCAACAGATGGGGTGTATTACTGCACGGTGCATTCGTGATGTCCATGTGGGGGTCAATAAGGCCCAAGCCCCTTTGCGCTAGATCCTAGATCTGTACTCAGAGAGCATTAGTCTGGTCGTAAAACTGTCTAGGTTCATGCTAACTTGTCACAAACATGGCAGCAGTCCGATGTGCCCCGTTGGGGGGGGTTGTTGGGGGGGGGGGGGGGGGGGGGGGGGGAGGTTAAGTGGAAAAGAGAAGGGAAGACGGTGGCAGTACGGAGCTAGTGGCAAGAGCTTGAAGAGCTTTGATTTTTTTTTGTGAGGAGAGGGGGGGGCTGGGAGGGGAGGGGGAGGACGCGGGAGTTGTCCTTATTGTCAGGTCCCTTTGGTCATTGTGTTGGTCTTTGAGATCGGGTGAGATGATGAGATATCTCGGATATTAAATCTTAGGCAAGTCATAATCCAGTGGGGCCTGTGCTCCGGAAACAGCAGCTCCCTCTTTTCCCTTAATCGTGAAGGGTTAACAAAGCTTGTTCTTAAACTGCCATTACATCCGAGGCAAAATTCAAACTGCTATGCGCACCAAGCTTTGCCGAAACACCATCGCTGCTGCGTTTATGTTTTTGTTTGGCTGGTGCCGCCAGCCATTTTGGTCCAGTTGTCCCGAGACTTCAAACTCTTAGGAGCGACTCAAATGTGATTCTCAAGTTGGCTGGGGCCAATGTACCAGATCTGAAAGACCAGTAAACCCGTGACGGTAAGGGCCTGCTATGTTCTTGCTAAGGAAGCATGAACCTGTAGATGATTTGTCTGGCCCAAGCATAGCACGACGGGGGCCTTGCATCAAATCCAATTTGATTTGGCTCTATCTGGCCCATCTGTTGATGAAATTCACCAAATCCAATTCGATTTGGCTGTATCTGGCCCATCTGTTGACGAAATTGAGGCGAAAGGTACTCATACCAGATAGACCGTACTTATGGGGACAGGCGGCCGAGAAGGGGGTTGTAGTACAAGAGCAGCTTGCAGAGACGTGAGTGCTTGGGTGTGTGCGTGCGTTTCCTGTGTAACTTCTGCATGTTGACGAAATTGAGGCGAAAGGTACTCATACCGGATAGACCGTACTTATGGGGACAGGCGGCCGAGAAGGGGGTTGTAGTACAAGAGCAGCTTGCAGAGACGCGAGTGCTTGGGTGTGTGCGTGCGTTTCCTGTGTAACTTCTGCATTTTGACAGCGGCTGGGAAGAGACGTGAGTGCTTGGAGGGAATCGGCGGCAGACAAAAGAGGTCTGCTGTGACGAGGCAGAGGCAGAGCAGCGGCGCTGGAAGAGGGAGGGAGAGTGAGAGCTCACACACATGCTCACTCAACTCGACACAGACTTGATACGACTCGATGGACCCAGACACAAAGTGGCAAAAATCGCAAACTCGCAGTCTTGAATTCCCGAACAGAATGTCGCAGCAAAGTCGAACTGAACACAAGCGCTGAGGCTGAAACTTGGTGCCCATACTGGGCTTGAGTCCGTACATAAGTACCCGATTCAAGTATGGTCCTCAGGGCGAAAGTGAAAATGCCTCAGGGCCAAGCCTGAGAGTGGGTGCCAGAATGTCGGATTGTCCCAAGTGTCGGAAATCCGAAAGTCCCAAAAGAAGGAATTTGAAAACGGGCGCCAGAATGCAGATGGCGCCAAATGTTCGAAATCAGAAAAGCAAGAATCAAAAACAAAAGAATTGCAAAACAAAAAAAAGAAAGCAAATGCAGCAAGCTGGCGGGTGGTAACCTGCAGACCAGGTATCTAGCCCTGGCGGAGTCCGTAACATCTGCAGGCACGGGGGAGGAAGGGGATGGTTGATGTGCTCCTTTTGGTGCTGCCTTCTGCTTGATCAGACTTCTGCATTTGAAAGGTTTCCTTGATGCACTCCTCGCTTGGTGTTGCGGCCGCTTTTCCCAAGTCTGTTCGCTGAGTGAGAGACAGCTGGCGTTCGTTTGTGCAGTGTGGTGTGTGCTTCGTGGCTGAAGGGTAGGTACACTTGATCAATAGGTTAAGAGTTTAAATCCTACTGAATGCTATAACAAAAGTAGGAGAAATGGAAGTGATATAATGGGGCATCCTGTCTCTGTAGGCAAATCTGACATCTGTTTCTTTTCTTCTCCATCTTTTAAGAGTTTGCTAGATTTCTGTTCCACTTGTTCTCTGCTCCGAAGGGCCGGAAGGTGACATATTTTGGGAAGTTGGTCAGTGCCCGGTAGGGAAAGATGATCTTTTGTTGACATGGCGAAGAGGATGCGGAAAACATGGATCCGTCGTACGCCCCCTGTTTGCTGTTGTCTGATGCTCAAGTTGGGAGTAGTCAGCATTTCAGAAAGTTGGTGAGTAGAAAGAAAAGGGGAAAAAAGGAAGTTGGTGATTGGTAAGTTGGCAGGGGGATAACCAGGTCTCGTCCTGCCCCTGCTTGCCCATCTGCTGCTACTGCAGTTTTCACTGCTGTAGCGTCCACTTCTGCAGTTCCTACTGCTGCAGTTTTCACTGCTACAGTTTTCACTGCTGCAGTTTCCACTGCTGCAGTTTCAACTACAGCACTTTCCATAGCTGGAATTTCCCCTACTATGTTTTTTACTGTTACAGCTTTCTCTCCCACAGCTCCAGTGCAAAGAACATCACAGTATCTCCGACACTTCGTTGCCAACAGAGTCTCCGGTTCCCATTGCTCCCATTGTTTCACTTGCCAACAGAGTCTCCGGTTCCCATTGCTCCCATTGTTCCAGCTTCGTTGCCAGAGAGACATGTTCATCTTCAGTTTGCAACACCACTGCTACTCTTATTGTGTATCGTCAACAGCATGCGCCGCATCGCCCGTGGATCAGCAGCGTGCTTCTTTGTCTGCCACAATTCTCTCTGTGCCTGCTCCGCAGGTTGTTGCGGTTACTTGTTCCAAACAGCAATATCCACCCCTATGCCTCTTGCAGACAGCCACGGGACCATGTTTTATGCCCTTCAGCATTAGATAGATATTCACGAGTCACCTGTACAACAGGATGTGGTCCTTGTCCAGGGTACTCCCGATTCCAGGGCAGTCCCTACTGAGGATGAAGCCCCAAACGTCGAGGGATTGGAACATGATTTACCCTGATTGCAGTTAACCCCACAAAGTGTAGACCACAAGGGGGATCTGCAAATGGCTGACCAGCATCGTTTGGAACTTTGGATGAATATATCGTTTGGATCAGTGTTGCGCACCTGTCTCTTATACACATCTAGATGTGTATAAGAGACAGCTCCTACACTTCGTTGCCAACAGAGTCTCCGGTTCCCATTGCTCCCATTGTTTCACTTGCCAACAGAGTCTCCGGTTCCCATTGCTCCCATTGTTCCAGCTTCGTTGCCAGAGAGACATGTTCATCTTCAGTTTGCAACACCACTGCTACTCTTATTGTGTATCGTCAACAGCATGCGCCGCATCGCCCGTGGATCAGCAGCGTGCTTCTTTGTCTGCCACAATTCTCTCTGTGCCTGCTCCGCAGGTTGTTGCGGTTACTTGTTCCAAACAGCAATATCCACCCCTATGCCTGTCTCTTATACACATCTAGATGTGTATAAGAGACAGCCCCAAAAGTTTCTCAGCGGATTTGGGCTGTACTCAGCAAGCGCAGTACAGCCCCCAACTCAGATTTGAAACAAATCAGTGGATGGTTGTTTTCTGACTGGTCGGCAGACCACCGACCGGTCGGCCCTACTGGTCGGCTGCAATATGGTCGGCGGTCGGGTCCGGCAGTCGGCAGTTATGCAACCATGGATTGGATGAACCACAAATTTGTGTACCACCATCTGCAGACCACATGGGTGATCTGCAAATGACTGACCAGCAAACAACCCAAGACATTTTGGGCTTGCAACACCATCTGGGTGATCTGCAAATTGTTGGCCAGCATCCGGCACAGCAGCCTGAGATCCCCGCCAATCTCTGTGGTCCGACTGCAACAAATATCCGTCTTCACATTCTCCATCCCCTGTTTATACACCGTCAGACTTCCTTGCAATTGCCCTACAGATTGATGCTGATCTCTACAGATTGATGCTGATCTTCCCCGCCTACAGCCAGAGGATTGTAATTATACCAGGTAAAGAGGTTTTTTGAGGGAGCGCCAACTTGAACTACACAATGCTCGAGCAGGTGTCCGCCTGGATTGTGCACGGACCTGGCCATTACATGGCCATTGTACATGCTTCTGACCACTGGGAGCTGTGGGACAACGGCATCATGGTCCATGCCATGACTGATGTTACTGATTTCTTACATAATGATGCTGTTTTCTTGCCACACCAAACCATCTGCAATCTCTTTTATGTCGAAGGTCGTTCCTCAGGCCCCGTGCTGAGGCGGGACAATGTACCAACACTCTGCAACCTTCTCCTTTGCACAACTAAGGGCGCTGTTACACTCGGCCGTAGCTACCATCGTCTCTGCCACAGTCATTACAATGACATGGTTTCTGCATCCATGTGTGTAGCGGAATGTCCCTCTGTTCCTGAGTGCAGGCACCCTTCGCATCCGGACACTATTTGTCCATTTTGTGGCCATGGGCGTGTACTGAATGCATGGTCTTTTGTGGTGATCGTACTTCCTTCATTTTGCCCTACAATCGACATGCCATTTGTCAGGGATGTATGGTGGGCATGCTCAATGCCAGTCGTCATGGCTATTGTTGTACTAAGAGTGCTCAGCGAGGCCTTTCATGTGTTCATCCACCTTCGTCCTTATAACATATGTCCTCTCTGTTGGCAAGGACAGAGCAATTCTTGAGTCTTTTCTTATCCTCTCCTTTGCCTTCATCTTCATTCCACACTCCTTATTCTTTCTTACTTTGTTGCTCTTTTGTTTTGTCTTGTCTAAATCTCTCTTCTCTGT